TTGTTGTTGTTGTTGTTGTTGTTGTTAAGTCCGCGTTTTACTAGTCCGCGTTTTATTAGTCCTCGTTTTACTAGTCCGCGTTTTACTAGTCCGCGCTTTACTAGTCCGCGTTTTACTAGTCCAGTCCAGTCCAGTCCAGTCCAGTCCTGTCCAGTCCAGTCCAGTCCAGTCCACGAAATACCATATGCCCCCGTAAACATCATACTCTTCTTGGTCAAACGGTTACAAAAAATGACGCAATTCATAGCCGATTTCTGAACTTTTATTCAGAGTGACAAACGGAGATCCTGATTGCATTTGTTCATTTTTTCAAGTATCTATGTTACTGTATAATGCGGCTTGGGAAAACAGCATTCCGGCTGAATATCTTCATGTTGTAGAAAGCAACTCAGGTGCCTTACTTCCAAAGAACTAAAGTGTGAGACGTGGTATTTAATGATGCTCTAATAGAGAATCTACAAAATGCGATATAAAGATGAATTTGAACCACTGAGTAAATTAAGGAACCCATTTTATAGACAAAACCGGAATCAAACACATTTTTGCATACTGTGACTGCAAACTTTTCCATCTATGCAAAGTCATTTGCATATATTAATAATATGCCCTGGGGACATGTAATTAGGAATGTAAAGGACCACGCTGGATCCACCCCTTGCATTCTACTCTCGGCCGCCGTTTAGATCAGATCTAGCGACCCGCCCTTCCACTCCGCGAGGAATCCGGGTTTTTGGAGTGTATCCTCCAGACTCTTCGTCTGGTTTGGGCTTGTCCCAAGCTAGAGCGATTCTCCATACCTTATTTACATATCATGAATAATAATACCCAGGGCAGAATATTATACTATCTATATAGAAGGCAAAACTGCAAAACCCTGAAGTCCTACACCAAAGACCAGTTTTCTTTGCAATTACTGGAGACGTTGGTATCACCAGTAATTACAGTGCATTTTTAATCAAAGTTTTACAAGAGTTTTCTTTTTTGTACGCCATCAGTCTCGAGTGTTTCCAACAGCTACTATGATCAAGAAATTGATATCAGATATTAATATGTTACAAAGAGGAAATAACATCAAATTTATCAAAACGGCGCAGAGAATAGTCTCATTTGCAGCCGTTGTTTGGTCTCATCGCGTAATGCACTTCGAAGTGCGCTACATAGCGAATCTGCGTTCTACGATTTTAATAATCACCGTTTCTGCCGCGCCCTCTGCAAAATATTTTTGCGCTCTACCAGTAAAATCGTTGGTGCGTTTTTGATGACGTTCATGCATTGTATGGGCATTTTTTCTTGTTTTTTAACTCTTTTCACCCGCCGTAATTCGTTTTCCTGGAGACCTTTCCGCCTAATTTTTTTTTTCGCCTAGGAACATTGTGTAGGTTTCTTCGTTGATATTTCATAGGCAGTAATGGTGTACGAGTACAATACCGCTTAAGTTTCAGTAACAACCGTTGTCTGTTCTTCGTGTTTGAGTCATGCAACATCCGTAATAATAATAATAACAATAGTAGGTCTTTATTGTTTTTTTAAGCAAAAATACGTGCCAAAACAAGAAAAATTTACATAAAAATATTTACAAGGTTATCAATATTACATAATATAAGACATCACATTAGATAGCTACTCTATATTAAAAAAAATAGCCTATTGGAAAAACTATTTTTAAAACGCTGGGTATTAACCCTAGGGAGTTGACCACTAGGAACTCGGAGGCGCGCTGAGCTTCTTTCATTTTAGTGACAGAAGGGTACAGAGGGTGACCGGGCTTACTGGAGATCTTCTTGAATAGTGAGCGATCAACCTCCTCCAATACACTGTATATATTAATTTGGTACGAAATATATTTGCGTTTAAAGCAGCGCTGTAGAAAATTCGGGACCGTTGTTAATTCAGGTATTGAGGAGGCGTATATGGGTAAACCATACGTTAGTTTAGGTAAAACAATTGATCTAAAAAACGTAATCTACATCTGGTTGTTGATATCCCTCTTTGCGCAAACACCTTATAAGATAAAGACACTTATTGGCCTCCTGCAGTTTACCCTTAATATGCTCATTAAACCTGTGATTACTCTGTAAAGTAACCCTCAACACTTTTAGACAAGAAACTTGCGTTATGTTGTTCACAGGGTATCTATCACGTGCAACCTTCTTACAAAGTATTAGTTCATTACATTTTTTGGGATTACATGACATGGCATTACCTTTGGTCTAACTGAAAAACTGATTGACAACCTCTTGAGAGAGATCTATTTCATTTTTACATACTTTGACTAGTAAGGTAGTGTCGTCAGCACATTCAACTATGCCGGTTAGGTCACTATACTCAATGGCTAAATCGTTGATAAACAATGTTCTTAGTCTTGTTCGACTTGTTTTTTTGTTTTTTGTTGTTCTTGTTTTTCTTTTTATATATATTTTATTTGCCGGTTATCAGATCGCTATTAACTTTTTATCCTATGTATAGAAAATACTAGCCAGAGATGAATTGTAGTCGCCACCTTTTCACGCGACTCAGCTTCTGTTTGAAAATATTAGCGTTTTTGCTTTTGTAACAAGTGTTTGCTGCCTTTTGTTGTTAAATACTAAAGGAGTGAAGTTGGGATGTTTCGGACTGGACACGGACAAACTGGGAAAGACTTAAACAGAACTCGGTGGTACCAAACTAACAGGCATCGCCTGTAACATTAACTGCTTCTACAGGTCTTAATCTTAATATTCAATGTGCGTCAAGTAACTAAGTTCCTGTGACAGGAAAGAAACAAAAACGACAATAGTGGCAACAAGTTTTTACCTGCAATTTCTGAAGACCGTTTTTGATCTAATTCTATTAACATATTAGTTGAATTTAAAGAGAATATCTAATTGTATGCGAAACTTACAAAATTGTACATCTTTGAAGACAACTCTCTTTAGATTATGAGGCCAAGTCTCTATAAAATAAGATCTGTTAAAATAAGATCTAGCGAAACTATCAACTCTTTTAAACGCAAATGTATTGAGCACATAAAGGAGGGGTACGCTAGTATTGATCATTTTCTAATATCCTAATACTCTTAACTTTTAGTTTTTAATTGCATGTTGATAGCTAGGTCATTTAACTTATTGCAATTGTTTGTAACTTTTTTCGTATTGTAATTTAGGTGAGGGCCACAGGTTTTTCAGTCTAAGACTGTAAAGTGCTTCCCTCGCTAAATAAAGTTATTTCTTTCTTTATTTTTTTATTTATAAAACTCACTGACAAGAGGTATAGCGCGACTTGGAATGTTTTCTCTTCTATCATCAATTCATGGTTTTCACTAAAGGCTGTGCACCTCACCATCATAGCAGAACCAACTCAAATATTAAAAAAAAAGCCTTCAAGCGGGAAATACCTCACTTCAAAGGATTATTTGTCAAAAGGTTGTAATTCGCTCTTTTCGTTTATTACTATGTTAACCGACGTTATGATTCTTCGGCAGTTAGACTGCACACAGGAGTGTGCATTTCATTCGGATTGGACCTGACTGTTGGTTGACTGGGTTCTCATCCTCTTAATTATACTGGTCCTGAATGAAGACGCACGGCTGTCACGCCCAACTGATGATTTCCGTCTCCAAATTACCACCATGGTCACGCAAACCGCCACAATAATGACTGGAACCACTATCCACGGAACGATCGATGCCGCATCGAATTCTACAGAGGTAGCAAAACAGGCGAATTACCTTAGAGTGTAGTTGTTATGCCAAAGCTTACTTTTGCCTCTAAATACAACATGTCCCTCCACAATAGATGATATTGAAAATATGCCTTCGAAAAAGATTTCCCTGTAATTCGTATTCAGGGTATTTAAGGAAATTTTACACAATAATATTTTGAAACATCACTTTCAATTGGTAGTCACCTTTCTTTTTTGTTACAAACTCTGCACGAAATCCGCGGTTATTTTGCGCCTTCGTTACAACCATCTTTACTCTTAAGTCAGAATCGGATGTCAAAAGGCCTTGGGGTTTATTTGAACCGCAGAAGTCCTCCTTTCCGATTTGTAGTTTACTGTTTCCAAAACAAGAGATTTCAAAATCTTTCACGTTCATTTCTAGAATATGACCATCCGGAACGACAAGACTCCACGTACAAGTAATTATGGGATAGGAATTTGGATACCCTGGGCTTACTAGAGAACCTGTACTTCCTTTCATAGTTATGTGATTTTCTGCGTTTAAATCAGTTCGACAGCGGCTTGTAGAATCTAAGAGAAATGAAGAAGAAAGAAACTGCAGTCAACCAAGTGTTCCCTGCACGTTTCATTTCAGGTTCGATATGAAAGAACATTTGCATTAACAAGGTCAGTCTGCTATCTGCCATCGTTTCTGATGCTCCAAGTTTTCCGATGTTTAAAGAAATGTACTTCATTTGTTAGCTACGTTTTTAACATGGGAACGTCTTGTTTCAATTCATAATTCATTTCTATGTAGTGTATTTAGTTTTGATGACAGTAAAGCCCTTTGCGATGAACACCTTAATTTGCCACATACTATGAGAAAACGTTTATGTATTTTACTATCTCTCTTTATATTTATGTTGTTCATAAACACAACCTATCATGTTCTTAATGATAATAATAATAATAATAATCATAATAATCATAATGATAATGACAATAATAATAATAATCATCGTAATAATCATAATGATAATGACAATAATAATACTGACATCAAGGTAACACTTTTGGAAAGAGAGGTTGAATTTCAAAAGTAAAATTCTGCACGCAAGAACACCACGCACCCATACATACTTACTTGCCCGCAATTCATACCTGAACAAATATCTATTCTTTTCAAAAACCACCCCAAAGTAAGAGGGCTGAAAACGGGACATCGGGTAAACCATTTATATGACCTACAATGAAACACAGCAGCAAAATCTCTCTGTTTCTTAAGTTCTTGGAAAGGCTAACACTTTATTTACCTTGCTGAGTAACCTCGTAAGTCGCATAAAAGCCAGTGGCAGAGTTAGGATCCACCTGCTTTCCACTGATGTAATCCTTTCCAATTGAATAATCAGAAGTGAAAAAAATTTGGAGTTCATTTCGTGTGGAGTATATTACTTGCGGTTGCACACCTTTGCAGTACTGACCCCAAAAAGAAGTAACACTGCCAAAGTCAGCAGTGAAAAAATCATCGACGCGCATTAATTCTCCTTGATGACCGTCTTCTTCACAGTTTCCTCCAATACTTAACGAAGTGAAATTAAGCATAATGTAGTAGCCATCAGGTGCCTTTAGTCGCCAAAAACACGAGGTGACAGGAGAAAATTGAAGGGGGTAGTCTGGTGTCGATAAACGGCCTATTGAATTTTGGGTCAAATTAAGTTGAACGATTCTGTTTTTAGGGGTACATACACCTAAAACCGAAAAAAACGTATGTTACTTCCCCACGGGATTGTCAAAGAAGAACACAAATTCTGGAATGAGTAGAGAGTTAACTCGTTAACTCTCAGTCGTAAACAGTCCTTACCGCTAAAACAAAGGCTTTAATTTCAGCATGTCTTAACACGTTGTTCCCCCTTCGTATTTACACAAACCATATGGGGGAAAGGAATCATTAGGCAAAGATCAATTTCAAATTTCAGTCCTCCTCCTTAACTCACCTTACGAGATGGAAAACGATTTCTACAGCAAGGTTCAAGTTTAGCCTACCTCCAGATATTGCCTCATACGTAGCGGAGAATCCCCGAGAAAATCCTTTTTCGTCTGATACAAACGTTACCACGATCCTTGGCCCGACTGAATATATCGGAGAAGGTTTCACATTTCCACAGAACTTTCCATAGGGTGGGTCATTTTCATTGTAGCTATCCCGCACATCCACGTAATCAACGCCATCGCAAGTATCCTGCCCTGCAGTTTTCCCCAGGTGAAAGACACTGAAGTTAAGCTTGATACGGTGACCGCTGGGTACTGTTATGGTCCAGCGGCATTTCGTATTTATTTCGGGAGCCGATGAATTAAGGGGGCTGCGAATGGTGCCATTTGTACCGTTCCTCATTATGTTATTGTTTGCATCAGGGTGATGATCTTGGCGACACTCCGCTTAAGTTGTAAAATGTAGAGGAAATTCCGTTAGGCGTCTCAAAAATTATATTCTTCAATCCTATTCGCTTTTCTGACACACAAAATTGGTTTGTATCAATATGAACATTGGCTGCGATTTCCAATTCAAATCCCTTTCGAAAGTCTGCGTTTGAATTAGAGCAAAGTTTTACAGCTACAATGTAACTAAGTTCTAATCAAGTGAACTGAAGATTAAGTCGCATTGAAAATTAAGTGAAACTGAGAACCAATATACACACTTCATGTTTAAATCGGCTGTGTGTAACAAACGACGAAAAAATATTGCGATAGAAATGTGACTCGTATAAGAACTCGCAAGTGGCTATATTATGACATAATGTGATTAAGGTTCAGATTGTCATTCATAGCGCAAATCAGAGTTATCTGAAAAAAAATTCATTATGACATACTTATATGACATTTTTAAATAAGTGAAAACAAATTCATCTCCCTAGTGTTTCATTATTTTTCTTACCTGGTGGTATAAGCATAATAGAGGCATGAAATCCTGGATGTGTCTGTCTAGGCTCATTTGATGCGGTGTATATTACTGTGAGAGTGTCCAAGTTGTGGGTAGAAAAGACGTCATTCGGAATTTTTCCACAATATCGTCCAAGGACTGTGTGAAAATCGTTCCGTACTTCGGCTATTTCTATAGACGCATTGGAACAGTTCGAATTGTCTCTTATGTTAAAGGAACTGAAGTGAACTTTAATCTGGTATCCTAAGGGAACGAATGCTTTCCATGAACAATAAACCGACGAGCTTGGAAAAGATGTTGTTGGACTTGAAATGTTCACCGATGAGTTTGTGCTTGACAACGCCACTGATCTGTTAGACATGGCCGGAGTGCAATCTTTGCCGGTTATCATACAAATACAAAACAGAACAAAATTTCACAAAGGCGTCAGAAGAAGAAAAGGGAAGATAACGAAAAATAAACAAACAACAAGAGTCCTGTGCAATAGACAGCGTATACTTAATGGAGGATCAAAAGAGGTTTTCTTACTTATAAGATTTATTGTTTAGTAACAAGCATATTGTCCCTCTGTGGTGATCTTTCTCCTCATTCGGTCGCTACATGAATTATGCAGCAAACCAGATTTCGACTTTGTGATGCGGATATATCTTTTTAAGACACAAACATACTTAAAGAGGAGATTTCAATTCAGCGTTTGTTTTTCGATTCCCTTAAGAAGCTTAAATATATCTTTCTGCTTTTTCTACTTTCATAGGACTTCCAGTAAATTTATTTTTAGCTCACCTAAAACGTCACCATAAGTCCGTTTCCATAGAATGAGAACTGCAATAATAATTGAAAAAACAGACAAACAAACATATAGCTAGTTCCTTGATACTGATAGCTTCACACATTCAGAATTTGAGCTCCACAAACGTATCCGATCAGTGATGAGGCTATAGTTAGTTCTCCATTCTATGCTTAAGTGAGGGAAGCTTGGAATTGGGAAAATTAATCGTTACCGAGTAAACGAGCAGTCAGCTAAGAGCAAAAAAAAAGGTCATTAGGCGAAAGAGAACCCGAAGCATGAATTAAATATTAACTGAGACGGATGATAACTTGAGGACTCAGGCGACGAACACGTGGTCCCATGCTACTGAGTCATAAATAAATATTATGGGTCTGACGGGCTACTAATGGATGGTTAGGTTAAAATTAAGTGGAGTGGGGGAGGAGGGGGTGGGGGGAATTGGAAGATGTTTGCGGCAATGCAGTATATTTTGATAAGTTTTCACTATTCCAGAAAGAGAACTTGCAGCTGTCAGAAAGTAAGATTAGCATATTGTAAAAAGTATACGTCTGAAAACCTGGGGACACCTTTCATCTTTTAACCGACATGTTTTCATGTTTCCTTTTGTTTGGTGGCGAACTTAAAGCCATAATTACCACAGTTAATGGACAGTTCATCTTATCTGCTACCTTATTGCACTTTTTTTTTTTTACAAAAATAGAAAACAAAAACTTATATTAATTAATCCTAGCGAAGATGCTACGTATTTTTTTTTTGTAGAAATAAAACTTAACATTCGAATGCAGAGTAATGATACGGCGTCTCGTGTTTCTATAGGGAAGCTTGCCGGAAAAATAAGTAAATATCAAGTTGTACAATTTTATGCAAATATTCCAAAATATTCCAAAATATTCCAAAAAAAATATCACAAGAACATTTCAAAAGCGAATTGAAACTAAAAGTTCTCTCAAACTCATACGATCATACATTTTCCCTGCGAATGATAACATAAAATAATATTACAAAGAAGGCTTAATTAACTATTTTTGTTATTACAACTGAAATGACGAATGTACATGTATTCCAAAAAAATATTATATAAACATTTCAAAAGTGATTTGAAATAAAAAATTTCTCTCAAACCTATGAGATTATACATTTTGCCTGCGAATGATAACACAATAAAAAGTTAATGCAAAAAAGAAGGCTTAATTAACAATTTTTGTTCGACAGCTGAAATGACGGATGTCTTCGTAATTAATTTTTTTATATACCAGTTTTCTCTGAACCCAGCTCATATCTTTTTATCAAAAAACGTTTCATTAAAAAACGGTCAAGTAGAATAACTAATGTAACAGAATGTCTCAGTCAAACAAAATGGTCTTTCCTAAGCTTTATCTAAAAAGGACTATTAATATATGAGTAGCTAAAAAATGAAAAAGTTAACTGAAAGCGGGTATATGAAAGAGCGTCGGGCCTTCATAGATTTAAAAGAAGTTTGTCAGTTCACATGCAGGAAATTTTATAGAACGGTTTGAAACTAGCAATTAAATGACTTAAAGTTTGTTGATCTACTTAGAAAAACAATAGAAAAACGTTTCACCATTTTATTTGAATTTCACAATACTGTTTCCTGCAAATGTCAAATAGTTGATGCTATTAAATTTATAAAATACCCAGTCAAGCGTGAATTCTCATCGACTGGCAACTGACTAACCACCTTAAGTAATATTTATTCCATAGCCGTGTAATCTAAATTGTACATGTCAATGGTTGCAGTTGCATGGTTTCACCCAACAAAAGGCCACAACTCGCAAATTGATCGACAGAAGATTCGTGAAAATCCTCGGGGAAAGCGTAGCCTTACATGTGGGCATAACTTAGGTTGATATGTCACGAATTATGATGTAGTTATGGCATGTGTACTTGAATTATCTTACATTTCTAGGCAATGATAACAATTTGATCGCTAAGTTCCCTTGTTCTTATCTGTGTCCTTCGATTCGGGGGACGCGAATTCGAGAAGCCTTCGCGTGATGCGTCGCTAACTCTTGATCGCATGCAAGTCTAGCCGTTTGCAGGTAAATTATTATTTAGTGTCTTACGTTTCCACCCGGTCATATTTGCATAAGCTTCACCAGAAAAATTCCTTTGTTACTGTTGTTAACATACTACCCTCTAAACTCACCTGTACAAACCATCATTGCCACCCTTTTCCACGTCATTTTGCAGTAGTAAATAAGCAATACGTTTGCTCATTGAATCGAAGAGAGACTTGGTAATCATTAACATTTTATTTATGGAAGCAAGTCACGTTATTCGCGTGTCATACGTCATTACTAGCAAGTGAACGCCAATATAATACACGACCTTTCGATGCCCGTCGTACCCCGGTAAAGTATTCGTATTCTATCGAAAAAGTGAATCTCAGAAGTATTCGCTAGAGTCAGAAAAATAGTTACTTGGTCGAATCTATCATGCTACGCCAAGCACTTAAACTACTTCTTCACGCGCAAATGACAACAAAGGAAATAAAGCTCACACTTAGATTTTATTCCCTTTTTGCTTCTTTGAGACTGTAGAAATGTCATCCATTGATATGACAGACATAGTCATAGTTAATCGATTAACTATGCTTGTATATATCAACTCATGCACGTTCTCTTGATGGGTTCGATGATGCTATCGCTGCGCCAGAAGTGATATTAAAAACTTTAGCACAGATTTTGATCAAAACCCAATTATTTCCTAAATTTCTGTGACGGAAGGTGTAATACATGTCACAGACCACAAACACAGAGGCATAAACGAATAAATGAATAAATAAAATAATAGTCCGAGCCCCAGATAGGACTTGAACCCACGACCCTCCGTGGTCTAGTCGGATGCTCTAACCACTGGAGACTCTATGGTGAGCAAGGGTGGGCCTCGACTGGAACCGCTTCGCGCGGCTACACAGCCAAGTATTGGTCAGCGCCGGTGAAACTCACTAACAGCATCACGCTTTAATGTGACAGCGTGACATTAAATATCCATATGTTTCTTCAATTTTGATTTAAACTCACAAACGTTAGGGCTGTCACAAAAATTAAATACATTAATAGGAAGATTATTCCAGGGTTTGATAATTCTGACAAAGTAAGAATTTTTGTAGCAGTTCAGTTTTGCGAGTTTGAGTTGTAGTTTATATGGGTGGTTAGATCTCGACTTAGTGTTTTTACAAAGTTCAAAATAGTCGCTGAAATTCAATCCATTTAGATTGAATACAGTTTTATGACATTCTACTAAGGAAAGGAAATCTCTCCTTTGTACTAAACAGTTCCATTTAAGAACATTACACCTCTCCGTATACGCCATCTCTTGTCTTCTTTGGCCTAAAGCAATTCGCGAGGCTCTTCTTTGTATCTTCTCAATTTCATCGATGTCTTCTAAACAATGTCTCTAAACAATGAGGACACCAATAACTTATGACACTGTACTTACAAATCGCCACCAAAGCGTTTTAAAAATAATTTTTAATTTCTTAGTGGTGGAGCATTGCCTCTCCGTGGCAAAATCAGTGTAGTTATCAGTTTCCTGTACGTTCCTGATAACTTTTAAGCCTATGTGGGTTAAAGAACACTATGGTAATAACGTATTTGACTGAGAATAGAAGAAACGCTTGTTCTATTCAGGTAAGGAGGTGAAATATGCACGTACACAGTAATTAATATAATTATATCAATTTTGCTCGCCAGGTGAAAGGGGACAACTAGCACCCGACAAAATTATGTGAGTCCCACTAACCTATTATCCGGCCGAACGAAAGAGAGGGCAAGTGACAAACAGCGCCTGGGATTTTAGGAGAATTGCTGCTAGACGCACTTTTTCCTTTGTTATTCGCGCACCAGCTTTTTCGCCCGTTTGCACCAAACGCTAGCTTAGCACAGGCTTGAGTATCATTGGCTCCTCCATTAAACTCAAAGTGCTGGCGAAATAATACCGATTAAGTATGAAATCTACGACCAACACTGTCTACTTTTCAGCAGCGTAGAAAAGGCAAGAATTCTACTAATCGACTGTGGTTAACATATTTACATTGATAACTTGCGAGAGCTCAGCTATTCAGGTCGAACTCATCAGCTTCATTGTTATTTCTAACTGATTTTTGTCGGTGACTCAGCATGGTCATCTCCTCGCGGTTTGTTTCCTTTAACTGTTTTTTCCGTCGTCGATATATCTGTGCCATTTTTAAGAGTATCAGAACAATTATAAATATTCCAAAGCAGATAAAACAAGTGGTGATTATGGCTATCAGTGTTCTGTTTTTAGTTTCTGCAAGGAAAAAAAAGCAATAGTGTTAAAGAAAAACTTGACAGCGTAAACAAAAAGAAAAACTGCAATGATCTAGGCAGTGTGACCATCATGAAGGAGATTAATGGGATGTTTTCACATCTCGTTATCGAAAGAAACGAAAACTTTCAACCTTTCTTCGTTGGAGCCAATGAAACCGACTAATCAAGACGGCCTTTCAGTTTGAGTTAAGCTAAATTTCTTTTGATCCTTAGGGTTATATCTTCTTTAAAAGGACACAAACTGGCGTGCTTTGTTAATCACGGCTATTATTTTCCATAACGAATGAAAGTGAACTATCGATCTTAGGTCAAGCCATCAATTCTTGATGGCGACAATTCGATTGTTACACCGTTAGTGTACGTCAAAGCGATGAGGTCGAGCGATTACTCGTCCGGCTGCACTTCATTAAACCTGAGTTTCAAATCTCAGTGACGTAAATCTCAACATATTTCAGGAGACTAGGTTCAGTTACCTTTAGTAGCCGCTTCTTTCGAAACCATTTTCTGACAGATAGCGATATCGTACTGCACTACATCGTCTGATGTCGTTGCCTGACACGTATATATTCCAAAGTCAGCAAGTGAAGAAACGAATACATTAAGAGCTCCATCTCCACTGCTATTAAGAATAGATTGCCCTTTCGTCCATTTGTAATAGGTAGGCTCGTCATCGGAAACGTGACAAAACAAAGTTATGTTATCACCTATTTTCAAAGCTACACATTCCTGTGTAATGGAACCAACCCAAATTCTCTGCAAATTATCTAGAAAACAAAAGCAAGTAAATAAATCACTATAAAATAAATCACGTATGAGCTCATTTATGGAGAAAAGAAAGACTAAAGTGAAAACTACTGGAGAGAATTTTATTGGTTATTGGGATGTGACAGTTTCAACCGAATACGCTGGTTCGCTGGCCTATTTCTTTGATTTTGAGCGTCATTTCAGGGCATTACAAAGCAGGATTAGGAAGTTTATTGTACTCTTTGCTATCAAAATTTTCTTTGTTTTACTTGCTCTAAAAACTTGGAACATGACCACACCCATACATGAATTCAGTCTCGACCTAAGAGTACGTTCCAGTCTTTCTTTTCTTACTACGATGTTGAATAATATTCGAGTTCATAACGTCTCCAACCTATTTATAATTTTAACCAGCTTTATCAGTTGTTTATTGCTTTAGGATAGAATATCAGTAGTCAAGGGCACACCAATTCAGTAATGTGACGAGCTGGTCTGGGCTTTTAAACGATTCAATTTCCCATATGAGGTAGGGGAATCAATCTCCTGTTTAATAAAGTTGTCCAATCAGCATGTTTACGAAGATATCTTTATCTTACAATTAAGTTGCTTTCGAGTGTGAGCCCTCTTGATATAATAAAAAAGCATCTTACCATTTGACTTTATCCTCATTGCTTCACTTGATGCACTCGGTGTGCTTTTCCAACTCTTGTAAAGCGCCAACACCCTGAAATAATAATCCTGACCTTCCTTGAGAGCAATAACAGTTGCTGTGTTATTACTAACAGTACATCCTTTATCAAACAATTTTTCCACACAGTCCACCGCTCTCCACGTAGTTTCTCCGCAGCATTTTGCTTCCACTGAGTAGTTTGTGAACTCAGTAGGAGTTGGCTCCCAAGCTAAAGTGATAGATCTGCTGGAACTTGCGACAAACCATGGTACACTCGGATAACCTCAAAAACGAAAAAATTAAATCATGCACATACTCAAAATGCAAATTGATAACATAGAGTGTTTACCTGTAATCACATCTGATACGATTAAGGAGGGAGGTGATAGCGATATCTGAACATTTGTTACTAATGTTGAGTATTTTTTAATCGTGTTAGTGCCAAATTACGAAGAGTTGAGATTGAATCGAATAGAATAGGACTCCTTAGAGGGTAAACGTTTTTTGAGCTTCCTCAACTGAAAGTTAAGCCAAACCTTACCTAATTCTTTCGTAACCAATGACTCCGATACTTGACTATACACCAGATAAGGAGAAACAAGTCGTAGGTAGTATATGTGACCAGGGCTCAGACTAGTAAGAGTTATTATGGCCTTGGGTAACCTGACTACACACGACCCAGCTACAGTGCTTTGTTCGCATTCGGTATCATGCCATTTGTTAGTTGTGTTTGACCATATTTGTACTGTGTAAGTTATATCTGTTACGTCAGGAATGCTGCACTGTACTGTAACAGAGTCCAGGGTGCTTGAAACAAATTTTGGTATTGCTAAGGAGATACCTGCAAAAATAAAAATCCCGTTTTTATTTCAGAAACAAGAACACATTAGAACAGATGAGAGTCTTGTTTCTCGGTAGGTTTCATTTTCGGCACCTTTCGACACTTCATTGGAATCATTTATAGAAACTGCGCAAGGTATTTTCCACGTTCTGTGATTTATTACAAAAGAAAAAGTCAAGATGCCGATTAGAATTGTATATTCTAGCATTAAGACTTTCAAGTATTAAGTCAAACTTGTTTACCACCGTAAGATCAGCTGCAATCTAAGAATGCTTACTACTCGACTCTCAGCCAATCAGAAAAACCACGAGGTGGCTTTGGGAAACTAAGATCGATCAGGGAAATGGAGATCTCTTTTACGACATAAAATAATTATTCGACTAAAAGTACTGACAACTTACCAACAGTAGCAACAAAACTCACCCCAGCCTCTATCAGAACACGTAACTCCAGCTGCCTGACCTTCATTACAAGTGTATTTTCCCCAGCCAGAGTGGGGACAATGAAGAAGAGAACTCTCATTTCCAGCGCACTGTACGTCGGTGAGCCACACAGTATTATTATTCTGTTTGAATGTAATATTTTGGTCATATGCTAAGGCTTCGTTGTAGCCCAACAGTCGGCAAAGAACAGTAGCATCCACCAAGTCCCAATGTTTGCCACACACTGCACCCCAGGCGCCTGAATGATGTACTTCAACTCGGCCATCTCTTGCAGTGCGTCCCTGGACCAAACGCACTACAATAAACACGATTCTGCGATCATTAGAGTGTTCAGTCGATTACGTGCATTTTTTTTTATCTGAGTAACAATTTTTCGTCCTCATTTTCTGATATTACTATGTTGCCTTTAAATGAAAAAAAAAAAGGAGCTTAAATCCGTTGCTCTGTCCTGATTTGGACCTGCGACTATGACCACTCATGTTGATCCCAGAAGCTCAATTCTTTCAAGAAAACCTGAATTTTAAGTGACTTCTATTAACCTCTTTATCTGATTTTATATGCTTCGTTTCTAACTGTACAAAATTGCAAAGTACTCTGTTGTCTCAGTTTTTCATAATCCGTACAAATAGCTTATCTACCTTAACAAAATTGTAACATTGCGCCTTTCTGGGTAATAGTTTTTCATCTCGCAAAGCCATGATCACTGGCGCTATATAAAAATTTAATAATTCTGTGCTAGTGGCCTTTGGTAACTGTTTCTATTTTTTTCAAAATTCATTGCCGATAGAGAAAGATTTTTTAACAGTTCTCACATGTAGTAGCATGTGTTGTTGCCTTACCTCCATCTTTTGCCCGTGTCTTCATGGTAAGCACTCCTACCAAAAGCATTCAGACGGTTAATGATGTGTAGGGCACATTGTACAGATTTTAACGGTCAGACATCTTCTCATAAAGGTTACTATATACAGACAACATTACATATGGTTTATGTATATTTCAGTGGTTATTCGCCGTCACGTTTCATTAGTCAATCTAAGACTGCTTTCTAGCTCTTTCACTGTTTATTGCGTCACGAAAGAGAGTTTTGACGGTCAGAAGATCAGTTTCCGGGTAATGTTTATTTTCCAAACGAAATGAAACCGTGTAATAACAGTCTGTCAATCTAAAAAGTCTGATAAATGATGTAAGTAGATTGTAAGGAAAACAAACTGGCGAAAGAGACTCGCGAAACTTGAACAAAGTAAGCGAAAAGGAACTGATGGCCTTACATCACCCTTTCACCTTAGATTCCTCCGTACACATTTCTCAACGGGTTTCCACCAGAAAATGTAATGATATAGCCGTAAAGTTAATTATTTTTGTACATTGTCCTGTGTTCAACAATTACCCCGCTTTAATTGCTTGCTAATAGCTCCTTGTGCACGCACAGTGTAACTTTGAGTCACAAACTGTTCAAATCATCAATGCTTTTACACGTCAACACGTACAAAATGCTTTAACAGAATATTTCTTTCTGCTTAAGAAAGCGCAAATAATGAAGAAGTTTGAAAATTTTACCCTGCCAGGGGAAGGCGGGGTTACTCGATTCACAATCATGATTCCTTCGTATCCACTCCCAGATATGTGTGAGGTTTACCTATTTCCCCAAAATCAAGTAACGTTTTTGCGGCAGCTAAATCAAAAACGGTTAAAGGCTCGATTGGACGTTTTCATTCAAGAGATTTTGCATAATTGGGTAGTTAAACATCTCGTAAATGCTGTTTGTAAACACATAAACCAGGCGACAGAACAAGGTTTGTTACACCTGAATAGAGTTCACGTAATATATTCGAGTTGATTGTGTTTCTGCTTTGAGTCGATTAACATACCTGCCAACAGAATAAGCTGGGTTGCTCTTGTTCCATGCATTGTTGCTGAAGTTCGTATGTTTACAGGGTACGTCTGTGATCACTTCTGCTTGGTACTGCTGGTATTATGACAGTAATCTTATGCATTTTCATATGTTACTAAACGACGCGGATGACGTAGCATGAATCATGCATATGAAGAGTTTTCTACGATTTAATTATACTGTGGATTCTACTCAGGACAATGGCCGCCCGGATTAACAGTCGTATACTCGCTCTGTTGATTTGAGAAAGTTTATCTGCGATAAATGAAAACAGCTGCAGATTCTGTCCTGCACGTGATGATATCTGTTTTCGACATGAGTTAGAGCTCCCCCGGTTAAAGAGGAAATAAGAAACAAAACCACACTGAAGCCAAATTGTATCCTATGTCACGAGAGAGACGTAAATAACTTTACCCGTAAACTAATACAGAATTCGAAGACAGCTTCATATACCAATATTTCCGCTGCTATATCATGTGTTGTCTCTTGGTTTGCATATATGTTTTCCAAATCTGGCTTATACGCCGAATTGTAGCTTCGGAAACACCTTTAAAGCAAACATATGATCAAACTAGAAGAGATTGGAGGAACATTTATGATCAGTTGTGTGAACATGAAGCATGTTTCGTGACAAACTGCCGACGCTAGAACTTGCTAAAGACCTGTAAAAACACTTGGGGTCGGGGTCAAAGTGAACATATCTATATGTGGTCTAACCTAAATTGTCACTTTGGCCAGCCGTGCGCCAATTTTGTATAAAATTGATTAAATTTGCATCGCCGAAATTCATGTTGGTTTATCAGACAGCACATTCCAGTCGCCGTCTGTGAAGATTGAGAACTTGAAACTCAATGCTTGGAAAAGCTTTGAAAAAGGGAATTACGGAACGTTTGAGAGGCAAATTTACACTTTATCTATTTTACTTCACGGCGATGTCTATCAGCTATACGAACTTGAGCGAACTTACTAACAAAACCCTAGCCAAAAAATGGCAAATAATTTCCATGGTATGTGAGGGGAATCAAAGGAAGGAGAAAGGAAATAAAGAAAATTATTTGGCCGAAAGTAGGTTCTCAATTAATTCTTTAGTTTTAAGAATTTGTTGATTTATTTTTCATTTATTCATTCATTTATTTTTGACGCTGTAGGCATACTTCAAATGCACTGTATGCTCGGTATTGAAGTAATTGTTTCAAAGGAGAATGAAAATTTCAGTTTAACTTGGTTTATTAGGAGATAATTGACACAGAAGTAGGCTAATATTGGTTTCACAACATGAAAGCATGAATAGGAAATAAGGAAGAGCTTAAGGCGTTCCTGAACAACTTTTAAAATCATGTCAACTCCTTTTTCAATTATCAGCAATCTGTTCTACACCTATGATGTTTGTAAGAAATGTACGACTGCCTGTCGGTCCTAGGTTCAGCTACTTTCAACCAACTTCTACATAGACTGACATCAGAGGCCAAATATGCGAATTTTCGCTTTTTATGTGTTTTATGAGTAAGACCAAGATTGAGTAATCCGAATAATATACTTTGATTTTGAAAACGCCTGATGTCGACAGAACCACAAAAAGCGTTCATTTTAATTTGATATTTGGGGTTAGATATTCAGATGGTGCTGAAGAAAAAAAAAAAAAAAGAAAGAAAAAAAAGAAAAGTAAAAATTAATAATGAATAAAGAAAATTAATGATTGGGTTGTGTTTAAGAACACAATTTGGAATAAAAGTAAAGATGAGTCGATTGTTATTTACAGAGCGAAGCTAATACCATTACTAAATTCACACACAAATTGGCTCGTTTTGGAAGGAAGAAGTACTTTCGGCTCTCAGATTACCAGAGAAAAGCAGTAGAAAGTCTATAGTATATTTAAATGATGCACAGTGTTAAAAATTGTCAATTCTTATCAAAGCTATATCCTCTCAGCTAATCTCAATACCCTCCTGTAGTTTATGAAAAAATGTTCGAACAGTTATCTGTATTGTTGATTAAGAACTGGATCATTAAATAATGCAGCTCTAGAGTTTTCATGAGGGTCTCAATGGCGGGAGTCACGTTGACGGTTGACAGTAAAAATATTGCGTTTTTGACTGTTGACAGTTAATATTTTGGCCATTTGACGGCTGACGGTTAACCTCATTGAGACCTTCTTTCATTGCTTTAGCCATTCTGGGTTATGAGCCAGAAAGTGGTTTTGCGCAGTTTAATATTCCATTTTTCCTTACAAAAAGCTTGGGAAGATTTATTTATCCTTTCGGGTGTTTAAATAAAACAATGAACTATTCTACTCCCGCTTCTTGGATATGAGATGATCATTGGCTATCTACCATCTCATATCAAATGCGCGCTCATGGAATAATTGTTAAATATATACGTCAAAATATCACACAACAAACCTGTCATAAATGTGGTTGTCCGCGACGATATGGACGGAGGAAGCGGTTTCATAAAGCGGGTTTTCATTTTCCTGTTCCACAGATGGCACCTCATTGCAGTCTTGTAGCTTTTTTACCTCAGTGTATAAGTGAGCTGCTTCTGTAAACCTCGGCATGCTGTTGTTGGTCACAAACAAATTATTGCTAGGTAATTCACAAAAACAAACACTCTGAGTACGATCTCATGTCTATATTTGCGGAGGCTCTCAGTCTGAAAAGAGGAAGCAATGCTTAATTCTTACTTCAGAACTTTTATATCTTAACCAGAGGATGGAATCATTTAAAACTGTAGCATGAACGCTCCGTCCAAATCTGATTTACTCAAATGTGATTTACTTTGCAGGCAAATAGGCTTTAAAAATGTTCGGCAAGTTTGGATGCTCTCAGAAGAAAAAATAATTACTGAAGGACCGGTCAAAATCTATCTCGCTTGACGGGGGGGGGGGGGGGGAGGGAGGGTAACGATTGAGATTGGAGGTGTATTTTTAACCCTTCGTAATATTCTTACGCTCCCCCTCACTGGCAATTAATGACATGTAGCTGGCAATTTTCTATTGTCCTCCTTTTATACCTTGTTGGTGACGACTGATCCTCCCTCTTTTAATTTCCCCCCTGAAAATCATGTGATCCTCAAAAAATACTCCACCTCCTGGTACCTAACCTCGAGTAAAATCTCACCTTTCGCAGGCCTGGGTAACCACGACGAGAGCGTCAGTCGATGTTGTAGGTTCATACAAGGGGTTTCTACTACAGAGTTGCCCACCAGGATCGACGTCGTGTTGGTTTTTAACTTCGGTGTACAACTCGATTTCCTCCGAAACATACGTTTCGTTTGTGTAAGCAACAGCCACGGTGCTTTAAAGTAAAACTAGTGAGTTACTGACATCGTGGATTTTAACAAAGTGAAAATCGTTATCGAAAAAATCTGACTTGCTTATCAAACTATGATGATGATGATGATGGGGACGATGTCAATCAATGTGGTTTTTAGTTTTGTTAGCGTGGAATGCCATACATTTATAGTTATCATGTAGCGAAACAAACCAGATTATAGAAATCACTCATCAATTGATTAATTCTGGTTAAAAAAAGGCTGAAAACTAGTACACAGCACTACTTATTCCGGATAATTTCACGAGGGATTCATGCACGCGTGTTAAAATATGGCAACCCTCCTTTAGGGCCAAGGTTACAAGAGAGATAACTAACATTTTACCATAATAGAGTAAGACGGTGATTTATCATAAATGAACAGCTTGTTACCTTCTCTTAAATACAGCCTAATTTAAATGTTATTCATGAATTTTAGGAAACGTGAATTAATTAAGAACCCGATGCATGTGATATCTCAGATGGTTGACCTTATGAAATAAGCAGTTGAATGTTCAATGTAAATGAATATGTGATTTTCCCTTATTAATAATAAATTAATTAATAATAATTAATAATTAATTTATAATAAGCAGTTGAATGTTCAATGTAAATGAATATGTGATTTTCCCTTATCATTCGGATTTTCAGCTATAACTTGGGTGAAGCTTCCCTTGACTTAAATTCCACGACCAGTTCTCTACGTTTCACGTGTTCCATTTCAGTTCAAGATTACGAAACAAGCAGTTGATTGTTGAAAATGTATGTGATTTTTAACTATCATTCGGAATTTTTAGCTAACATCGATGCTTTCCCTGACCTGAATTTCAGATCTCCCTTACCATTTAAAGAATAAACTGACAAAAGCCAAATGTTTGCGACATAACTTACTACCTTGTAGAGAAAGTAAGCTCTTTTGGCTCGGATTCTTTTTTCTTCCCCACCCTGTGACAATAACAACAAAGCAAGTAATCAAACAATTATACAAAAAAAGGTCATACCAATCGAAACATAAAATACAGTGAAACCGATTTTTGAAATAAACACCGAGACGTTAGTGAGAGTAGCGATTTCCAGCATACAAAGAGCTTCCTCTAATCCGATCTGCTTTGATGTTTCAGAAATCACTGACAACGCAAAATGAAATTTTTCGGCGGCACAAGACATGCCTCTCATCGTGAATACTTACCCTGTGATATAAAAGACGATAGTTAAACGCATACAGACAAGGAAGAAGGCCAACACTACAGGAGTTACCACGGCTACCACATTCAAGCCTGTGCAAGGTAGATCAGTATAACTATGTATGAGACTGTAAAATTAGCTACAGAGAAAGCTTTGTATTATTGGAACTTCTCATTTTAAACGGTTCATTTGTTTTCTTTCTTGTGTTACGATAACAGCTACTATTACGCCCGTATGATCACATTTATACTCGGTAATTGCGGTTTAGTTGTCGGTTGCAGATGAATAAATCACAAACCCTTAACAGCCTGATCCCTCGATCTATTGAGATATCTTTTTCTGCCATAACATAGGTATTAGTTAACCTGTGAAGATCAATCCGTCATCTTCGAGTATTTACCCTGTTTTTGTAGTTGCTCCCTTTTAGCTTCGATTCCACCTTTCTTCGATGATTTAACAGAAGTGGGTTTCGGCATTCCGTCTGATGTTATGTTTTTCGTGTGGAAACTGTGTGTTGTCTCTGATGTCTGGATAGCTAGGAGAGCAATCATAATCCGGTATTTAAAATTGTCTGTTCAATACGTCTCCCATCTACTGGTAACAACAAAACGACCTGCATGTTTATTCACCGTGGAGAAGAACGTATTCATACAGTCTTAGTTAAGGGAAATAGTGCAAGAAACTGAAATCACACGACAAACAATGTTCAGGGAATTAGGGAATACTTACTTCGAAAATTAACACCGTAGTAATTAACATTGAATCCATCGTACGAGCCTTTGCTATCTGATCTAAATATTACAAATAGTTGGTTAGACGAGGAAAATATGCCTCCCTCTGGGGGAGGATGAGCTCCGTAAAACACCCCCAATAACTCTCCTGTAGCATTCTCTCCATCATACACGTACAATTCGTCTGTGTCACTCTCGTGCTGCAAAGTAAAGTTTGTGAATATCAAGTGGATTTGTTGTGTCGTGTTGATTGTGATTCTCCAGGAGCAGTACTGTCCATCTGGATATGATCTTGGGTAGTTTGGAGAATGAAAAGTACCATTTATAGAGGCAAGAGTTTCGTTGCATCCTAAAATAAGATGAAATGGTGTTAGCAAGAATTAATTTAAAGCTGAGACGGTAAATACATATATCGTGTTTGAAAAAAGTACCATGCAATCCTCGCCTGGTAATTTATGTGCTATTCCCACTGGGAGCTTTCTCCGGAGAAGGCTCCTCTACCATTTTTAAAAGAATTGCGAAACACCTAAATCTCAAGCCCTTAGCCTTTCCCCGGATCTGACGGCAAAATCGGCTTTATTCCCTCTCGTCATGTCTACATGTATTTTTAAGTTAACATTTAAAATGAAAGATATCTTATTATAACATAACCAAAGTAAAGCGCGCGCTCTGATTGGTCAATTTAGCGTCCCCCATTTGCCCATGGGTGTACGCTGCTGACGTGAGCAAATGCAAAGACTAT